ATGGTAAAGTATTATGTGCATTGTATTGCATACTAAATTCACGTTTAGTAGAAGCTAATAACTATTAATTACAGCAAGAACTTTTAATCTTTTGTTTATAAAATGCTTTCACTAAGGTATCATTCAACTTTAATGTATCAATAATGACTTCTTTAATCTGAAAATCCGATATAAAAAGATTAAATATGAAAATAAAATTTGAAGTAAAAAAATATCATGCGGCATAAGTTAAATATTCTAAGTTTATTCATATATATATATATATATATATATATATATATATATATATATATATATATATATATATATATATATATATATATATATATATATATATACATTGATCAGTTCTACTTAAAAAGTCCCGTCGGTCTAGGTTATATATATATATATATATATATATATATATATATATATATATATATATATATATATATATATATATATATATATATATATATATATATTTATATATATATATATATATATATATATATATATATATATATATATATATATTATATATATATATATATATATATATATATATATATATATATATATATATATATATATATATATAATAAATCAGACCAACGGGACTTTTTAAGTAGAACTGATCAATGTACATTTTGTATTGTTGTAGAAAATTAAGTTTGCCTAGTAACAGCGACAGAAACGGGTGTTATCTTTTAGTACTTAGGAAAGTTAAAACGCAATAAAAAAAAAAAGAAAAAAGAAAAAAAACCGACATTGATTGAGACAGCAAATATCAGAGGGTTGGCTCATGGGATAGCTATATCAGCGGTGCCGCGTTATCGCAACTGTGAATACCTACCTGTAAACCTCTACTCACCTATGCGTAATCTGAACGAGAAATATTCAAATCTTGTAAACGGCAAACTTACATATTTTTTTGCGTTTTGTTCTTTAGTTTTCAAAATCGTACAAGCTTTTGCTATTTCTGACAAAATAGTTTGCGGTTATGAACTTTTAGTTTAATATATATACAAAGCTTTCAATATCTTAAAGTATAAGCAAACAAAACACAATCAGGTAAATATATCAATGGAAAGACTTGTATGTTAATCAATACGTAAGACAACATGAACACCAGAATTTTACATAAATGTTGGAAAAGATTTAAAGTTCAATTATATATGACTACACGTGTCTGACAGTCACTCTAAAAGGCAATGGCATGCGAAGGAACAGATTTATTGCAGAATATTAATAGTATCCTTGTACTATGGAATGAAATTTCAAACCGACTGAACGTTCACGATAAACAAGATTAGCATTTTCACACCTTGATGTACAAGAAAAGCAGAAGAAGGGAACAACTATACAAGAGATAATTTGCTCACAATGCAGAATCCTATAATATGTATGTATGTATGTATGTATGTATGTATGTATGTATGTATGTATGTATGTATGTATGTATGTATGTATGTATGTATGTATGTATGTATGTATGTATGTATGTATGTATGTATGTATGTATGTATGTATGTATGTATGTATGTATGTATGTATGTATGTATGTATGTATGTATGTATGTATGTATGTATGTATGTATGTATGTATGCTGATGAAGAGAAATCTACCTCCACATATCCCGATACGATAACACAACGTTTCTGATGACAGTTATTGGTTTAAATATAACTGGACTTCCAGTCTCTATGACGCTTTCTATCTTTTTCACGATTTATAAGATAAAACATCTTCTTTCTCATCTTGAGATAGCCAACAAGGCTTGAGAGAATCCGAGAAAACATTTATTATTCTCGTAACAAGCTTTTGTTGCAGTACCTGTATGATCATCACGTCAGATAACAAGAAACAAAAATGTTTGTACCTTAATACAAAGAAAACGATACTTTGTAGGGATTTCGTTATCATCATCATCTTTATTTTTGTCGTCATTAATGTCATCACAAACAAATATTTTCTCAAAAAACAACTTTTTAAAAAAAAATCATTAACAGTATGCATCTACTGCTTCAACAACAACAACTAATAATAATAACAACAACAATAATAATAATTATTATTATCATTATTATTATTACTATTATTATTATTATTATTATTATTATTATTATTATTATTATTATTATTATTATTATTATTATTATTATTATTATTAAAGGTATATAATAATGTTCATTGGCACATTATCGTAAAAAGTTATATGTTCTTTTTATGGTCATGACTATTATTTGTTTTATATCTCTACTTGCACTCTACGTTCTAACTTAAACTTGCTTCACATGCTTATTGAGTTGCCATCAAATTTATAAAAGTATATAATGTAAGAAAACCATGTAACTAAAACAAAATCTGATACTGGCTAAGATAGGAAACAGGGCTAAAAGGCGATTGAACACAACAAAATCAATTGTCGAAAACTGGCGTATGAACACCCACAAACTAGCAACATTTTACATGTATATATCGTATAGCGGAGAATTATTAATTTTCTTTCCCACA